TCCAAACGAACTGCCGAGCACATGAGCTTTATTGGGAGAGGGTCTCCCAGCCACCTAACTCCCCCTTACCCTAATAACTGCATAATGAAAATAAATCTGAGCAAGTGCTCAGGAATGCCCTTTTCTCCTGTGTTGTTACACTGGAGCTGGAGTAATGCCAGGGTTGGGGTTTTGTTGTTGTTCTAAAAAGGTTTTGCTCTGCAACCAATTTTGTTTCGTTAAAACAGAGAGGCACTGGCTGTTGCTCTCCCTATTAAATAGTCCTGGGAAACATTTTGACTAGCTCTGCAAACTTAATACAAATGTTCGTTCTAGGCAGATCGCTCCCGACAGCTGATACAGGGAGCTAATGCGTGTCCATGGCAGGGAAGGCAGCAGTACAGGGGGAGAGGGAACTGCAAAAACAAGCAGGTTCCTGGCAAGTGAGTGCTGTGCAAATACAGTACCTGTGCTCAAATGCAAATACAATGCCTGTGGATGCCTTGTGTGAGGGAAGGGGAAGATTTCTAATCTGGAAATCTGCATTGAGCAAAAAGGAAAGCCCCTCAAGCAGGCATCCACCCACGGCTGCCCAGGTGAAAGGAGCTCTGTACACTGGACTGAATCTGGAAGGGCTCTGTCCAGCAGAAATTCAATTTCTGTGAGTACCAGAAGCAGGGAATCTGCAGGATTCCACACTCTGGCAACAAAAGAGGCTAAACCTGATTCACATGATAAAATAAAATAACAAGAGAAATAAAAAAGGGTCCCTCTGTTTCCTCCCAAAGGTCACGTGCACCTGGCCTCTGTGGCAAACTAGCACCTCTCCAAGGTCCCTACACCCAGCCAAAGTCACCTCTTACCTGGGAAACGCTGTTGGAGCTGAACTGATCAGGTGAAAAAAGCAAAACATGATGCTTTGGTTTGGAATGTTTCTTTCCTCAGCACATCATCTGCAGCCAGGGCTGCCCAAAGAAGCCACCTCATTTCACCACTGGAGCTTTACTGCACCTTGGGGTGAGCGGGCCATGGCGCCAGCCCCAAGGGTCCCTTCTCCCAGGATCTGCTCTTTTCCCACCTGGCTCATCAGATAACTGGGATGGACAATCTCCCATCCACAAAGTCACCTCTGATGATACTGGATGTGGGTGTCCTGGTGCCAGCAATGCTGTGAGGAGTGGCCAGAGCTGTCCTGGGCTGGGCATGACTGGCTCCTTCCAGTTCCAAGGGCTGCACTTCCAGGCACTGCCAGACCCCTCATCAGGCCGGGGGCACCTCAGGGGAGAAGGGTATGAGAGGGAAAAATGGCAGGGAAAAAACGTGAGGGGAAAGGTGGGAGTGGGAAAAGCACAAGGGAAAAGGTGCGAGGGGAAAAAGCATGAGGCAAAGAAGAAGATGGGGGAAAGCGAGAGGAGAAAAAAGTGCAAGGGGAAAAGTGTGAGGGCGAACAGTGCGAGGGGTAGAAAGCATGAGGGGAAAAGCACAAGCGGGAAAAAATGCGAGGGGGTGAAAAAATGCAAGCAGGGGAAAAGTGTGAGGCGAAAAATTCGTAAGGGAGAAGTATGAGCGGAATTAGTGCAAAGGGAAAAAGCACGAGGACAAAAACACAAGAGGTAGAAAACGTGAGGGGAAAAGTGCAAGTGGTGAAAATGTGTGAGGGGGAAAAAGCGTGAGGGAGAAAAAGTGAGAGGGGAGAGGCATGGAGGAGGAAAAACTGCAAGGGGAAAAGTGAGGGCAAAATGTGCGAGCGGGAAAAAGTGTGAGGGAGAAAAATATGAGAGTGGAAAGAAGCACAAGCAGAAAAAAGTGCAAGCGGAAAAAGTGCAAGTGGAAAAAGTGCAAATGGAAAAAGTGCGAGTGGCCAAAAAGTGTGAGGGACAAAAAAGTGAGAGGGGGAAACTATGAGAGGAAAAGTGCAAGAGGGAAAAAGTGTGAGGGGGAAAGTGCAAGAGGGAAAAAGTGTGAGGGGGAGAGGAAAAGTGCGAGTGGCCAAAAAATGTGAGGGAGAAATGAGAGCAGGAAAGTATGAGGGGAAAAGTGCAAGAGAGAAAAAGTGCGAGAGGAAAAGTGCAAGAGGGAAAAAGTGTGAGGGAGAAAAGTGAGAGCAGGAAAAAGTGCAAATAGGAATGTGTGAGGGAAAAAATGCGAGCAGGAAAAAGCATGAGGGAGGAAAAGTGAGAGCAGGAAAAAGAGCGGGAAAAGTGCAAGTGGGAAAGTGTGAGGGGAAAAGTGAGGGCGGGAAAAAGCCTGAGGGGGAAAGTGCAAGCTGGAAAGAGTGTGAGGGGGAAAGAGTGCAAAGGGGGAAAAATTGGGAAGGGGAAAGGGTGCAGGGAAAAAAGTGAAGGGAAAAGTGTGACAGGAAAGAGTAAATGTGCAAAGGGGAAGAGCATGAGGGGGAAAAGTGTGAGTGCTTCCATGAGCCACATCTAATAGAGGCAAGGCAAGACCACTGGTTTGCTCAAGATCCTCTCGCCTCTGAAAGGATCAACATCTCCAGGATCTGGATGCTGTCTTGCTAGTGTACTTAGACCAGGATTTGGGAAAGTCCAATCTGCTGTTCCTCCTAGGCTAGGGTTCAGTACATTTCCCAGAAAAACCTGGTGCTGGTCTCTTCGAGCTGAGCAGATCACCAGCAACCCCCCCTAAGAAATTTAAATGAGGAATAACAAATGAGAATTGATGAAAACTAATCACTTGGAAAGTAACTTTCCAGGTGCACGTTCTTACTAAGAGTCATAAAACTTTCCGAACATACAAATATTTGCGCAAATAACCAAAGATTATCTCAAATACCAGAGTGGTTAAAATAGCTTTGCAAAGAAGCAGAGAGCAAAGCCCTACTCATTCATGAATATATTTATCAATTTGTTTATTACTATGCAGCCAGCTTTAAACCCTACCCAGCAGGGGAGAGACTCTATACCTTATGCCTATGGGCCTCATAATGCTTCCAGTGGGGATGGAAAAACTTCAAAAAAAGTTTGGCATTCAGATCCAGTTTCTCTGCTTATCTGCTGCTAATCCAAACTCTCCCAACATATCAAAAACGTTGAACCGGGCAGGAAACCACATGAGAACAGGTTTTCCTACAGGATTTCTGGCATTTCTACATTAGATTCCAGATGGAAACACCCATGAGAACAGCTTCTATCCTGGTATTTTTGGCACACTCAGTTCCAATTCTATCCGGAAACCTGAATTGGGAAGGGAAAAAAAAAAAAAAAGAAGAAGAAAAAAAAACCCTCCTCACAAACCAAAATGCATCAAACGTTTGTCTCAGTATTTCAGAACCTGAAGAAAAGTATATCATGTGAGGTGGATTTTTATTTTAGGAAAGAGGAGGCAATGTTTTTGGTTTTATCTTCAGTGGTCTGTCTTTCCTTACTCCCAGTTTCACACATCCCCAAAAAGAAATACCAGAGTGCTCAGCTACCAAAACTAGAAATGACCATCCACCTGAAAATAAGCATGCATGTTACCCCCAAAAAGATTTGGAGTTCACACAAATGACTGCTCCTTTCTATGCACAAGTGAATATCAGATATCTAAAAATAAAGACATTCATCAGAACTTCTGAAAAAAAGATTTCAAAGGGGTTATCCATGACTACAGCCAAAGTCAGGCGTTTTGCCAGTCAAAAATGAACGAATTTAATGTGGTAAATGAATTCCCCACATTTCCTGCAGTCCATTTTTTGCTCATTTACCCAGCTCTGCCACTCCCTCTAGATTGGCAGATGCTTCCATAGGTAATAACTTCAGCACTAATGACTTTGAGCAGAACCTTTCCAAAGTTATATTCAGCCCCCGCTCATTGATTTCTGTTACACGGGGTTATTTAATACCAGCCTTTTTCTGATTGGTTTTTTTTTTACTGCCATTGAAAGCATCTGATTTTTTTTCTCAATATTGTGTGATGCTTTCTCTCTGACCTCCCAGCACTAACTCTTGCTTCATGACTTTCTGTTGCCCACACTGGGGAGAAACAGAAAGAATGGTCAAGACTGTGACATCAGTGAGTTTGTTAGCAGCTCGCCTTAATACCTTAACCTTTTTGGGGTTTTAAGATGAACATTACATAAATCTATAACAAATGAACTCAAAAACCAGAAACAAAATAAATTTCCCTGCAGCTTTGACTCAAATAACCCATTTCAAGCTATGCCTACCAGTCTTAAAACCCCCAAATGATCCAAAATCTCTTTTCCCAAAGCCCTATGGATGCATGTTCACGTACTGCCGAATTCTGCCACCTTCATACCCTACTCATGCCATTGAAGGTGAGGCATTTCAGTAAGGAACAAGGACACAGCACCAGCTTTTCCCTTTCTGCTCCCCAGCCACTGCCTGCTGTGTGCTGGCAATGGTACCTCTGATCCTTCCTGAAGTGCAGAGGATAGCTTTGTGTTTATACTTTTAAAGTTGGGGATTTTTTTTCCCCTGAAGAAATGCTGCTGCATCTACTCACATGTACATCAGTTCCCTCTACTGGCAGCATTAATTAAGCTATTCCTTTAATTCACCAGGTAGATCGAGGGTTTGGGAAGGAGGATGTGCTCTGCTGGGTGGGAATGTCTGGGGCTGTCACCCACAGGGTGTTATGTTCTCACTTGTTATAGAGAAACTTTAATACACTGGTTCTTTCCAGTGTACTAGCTCTCCTCCCCAGGTTTTTAAAACTCACTTTCCATGCTATGGTCCAGGGCAGCTACTTAACATTATCTTAGCATATTTCAGTCCTTAACTGTGGCAGTAAGTGGGAAACTGAGGAGCAATGACTCCTGAAGCAGCTCGGGCAAACATATGGTTCATCAATCCTTGAGCTCTCTGTGTTGTGGCTGGGGTGAGCATCCAGCCTCTCCTCAGCCAGGGCAGCCCCTCCTAAGGGTCCATCAGGCTCCTTTTACTCCTTTGTGTACCCAGAGGCTACTATAAAGCGATGCTGGTTCAAAACAGGCTTGAAATCACTTGGCCATTCTTCTACCTTTTCATTTTATATTTTTTTTCTCTAGTTAAAGTAGATTGATTTTGTCCTGCCACAGGTAATGTTTTTCTCCTGAGGTACCAGGCCAGAGGAAGAAGTCATTCGCTCTATTTGGGTGCTTGAGGAAACACAGAATGAAAGAGAACCACTTGTCATTAAAAAAATCAAAACAGAAGCCCGACAAGAACATCTGCCCTAAAGAGAACAAGATACAAGATTTCCCCTTTGGAACCAAGCTGTCAGTATTTAGCAAAACCAGCAAAAGTCTTTCAATTTTCTAAGCAAATGGTGAGTAGTGCTATTTCACAGCTCTCCACTGTTGTTCCAGAGGTTTCCATAGGTATGTTCTGGTTTAAAAACTGTGGCTTAAAACCTCTATTTTGGGACCAAACCAAATAAACCTGCATGGATATAGCAACCAATAAGGCCATTCCTGGAAATGGAGCTTTTCTAGTGTAAGTAGAAGAGGAAAGACCACATAGAATTTGGTAAGAAAAATAATAACAGCAGCCTCTATACCCCTTAATTTGCATATACAAATGTGAGCACCTCAGTTTAAATATGCTTCTCACTCCTACCTAGCATGGCTGAGGTGCTCTCAATGCACACAGTTTCTTTCTTGGAATTTTCAAAACGTGTCCTTATTGTGGATTTTCTTGTCTAGATTGCATTCCTAAAAGGGATTGTACAAAAATGTTGTGTTCTGATTAAATGCATTACAGGACCTAGAGTCATATTTAGAGGAGAAGAAAGCATTCTTGCTCACGCTGCTGCACGAGTTCCTGTTTGGGGAATAAAATTGTTTATTTCTGATTCTTCCAGGAGCTTTTGCAGACTGATCAAGTGTCAAGACATGGTAGTTGACTCAAAGGTAACATAGATATTGCCTCATAATATCTTTAGGACCTGAATCAAATCTTGAGAGACTTTGAAACTCTGGGAGGATAATGAAAATACATTTCTTTCTTTGTATTATCCTTCATAATGGGAAGCTTTACATTTCTTTTCTAGCAACTATGATGTACACTGTACTATCAAGGCGTTTTTAGGGACCATTTACCTGAATACAATTTATGTGGAAGGTGTCTGAGAGCCAACCCGGATTTATGCTTCCTCGTCCTTGTAATAATAGATTTCTTTTTCTTTTTTTTTTTTTTTTCCCATCAAAATAAATGTCAGAAAGTTCTTTGACTGTTCAATAAGGGAGAAAAACATCCTTTTTCAAATGAAAGAAACGGTTATGGGCAAGGATTTGGTGTTGCTGGAAGCTCCGTGGAGCGCTCCAGCCCCAGGAACAAGGCACACAAGGACACATTTTCCTCCAAGGTTTGCCCCAGCACCTGTTCCTGTAGCAAGTAGGGCTCAAACCTTCCTGGGGTTTGGGTTTCCCACTGACCTGGGGGAAGTCCTTGAGGCAACAGAGCAGTCTTTGCAGGACAAAGACTTCCACAAAAGCACGTTTTGGGAGGAAAATCCTTGCCTATAAAAATATTGGTTTGGAGTGATTTGCCTAAATCGTTCTTTCCCCTGGCATTTCTTGGACTCTGAAAATCCTAATGCAGCCCAGCTCTTCAGGAGTGCTGTGTTGGGATTTTTGTACACACACCCAGGCCCATCTGGATTCCCACACGGGCCAGATATGTGGTATAAATAGCTCAAATTCAGCCTATCCAGGGCATTATTAGATTCTCTCCCATATTCAGGCACACAGGTACACACACACACACACATACATAAAACTCTGAAAAATTCTCCTAAGAAAAAAAATAAATACTTTAAGAGAATTGACTTCCCAAACTATTCTATCAGTTCCTTCTTTCTTTTCATGGCGACTGAGGTGATGCCTAACATGTGTCTACCCGAGGCAATGTCTTTTTGATATCATGCAGTGGAAATGGCAGAATCTGGCTCTTTAGTGACCATGACATCCAAAAATTGGATGCAGGACTTCACCTCTCCTCTCACAGGTTAAATGAATATTCTGAGAGTATCGATTGTGCAGTTCTTCCAGTGGAAGATGAATGTGATCAGCATCGATAATCAGAAAAAATATCATCTACATACCTCACATATGCAGATGGTGGCTGTTCAGTACCAGTCGGCAGTGCAGCTTCCTGGTGTGACAGGAAAATATCTGCAGCAATTGAGGATTAACAGAGGCCATTGCTACATCAGTGTTTTGTTTGTAATAGCTCCCATTCTATCAGAAATAACTGGTTGCACATTTCTGTGTCTGACATTAAAATTCACCATTGAAATCTCGCTTGGTAATAATAAAGCCCCTGCAAGAGTCTCTACAAACACACTAGACTCCAAATTAAAGAGCAAGTGTATTGTTAGGGTTTGCATGGATCTTTTTTGAATTAGTGCTAGGTGAACAATAAATAAAATTCCAGGAGAAGTTCCCCAAGCTGATAAGCATTCAAGGTATTATCTTTGCTCTGTACTGTATGCGCTTCTGGGTGAAAAAATTCTAATTGCACTTCCATTCAAAAATCAACCGTGGGAATAAGGAATCATGCTCATTTTATGCACAGCAGCCCGAAGGCCTTATCCTTAAAACAAATTACAGCGCCTCCTATGCAACTCACACTCTGAAGCTAATTCTAACCCTAAAGCAAAACTCCAAAATTAAACTTTAATCTGTGATCTAAACAATTTTGCGTTTGTGATCAATCTTGGTGGAGTGGATTTTAATATATATGAGTGTGTGTGTGCGTGGGCGTGTGCATGTGTGTATATAAAAATATAAAAGGCTCAGATAATTGTTATCGCGGATGAAGACCGAACATTAAATACTCTGCTCGGTAAGACTGAGATAAAATACACACAGTGAAGGGAGGGAATAAAGCTGTTAAGCACACACTCCTATGTGTAACAGAGTCCTGGACTTGCAACCAGCGAAAGCTTAAATTCCACCACATGTATCATATTTACTACGTTCTGCCAAAGAAATAGGCAGGCTGCCATGCCATTAAAGCAATTACTCTTACCCTCTCAGATACGTAGAAATTAGATTCTGCTCCTCAAAGTCGTACGCTGGGGGAAGTGAAGAGCGAGTGGGGGGGAGGTACGAGGAGGAGAGGCAGAAAGGCATCAGTTCCTCGCAGAGAGGAGGAAAGGCTTTGGGGCAGCGAGAGTTAAAGGAGTTGGAAGTGTATGGTCTATTTCTCCCCAACTTGGTGCAGTGACTCTGCATCCTGCAGGAACCTGTTCAGATGCTCTGATAAGTCAGACAGAATTCATGGGAGATTACCACACAGCTCCTGCCAAGCTGTGCTGCAGCACGGGTAATAGATATGCTCCAGTACTAAATCCTAAAAGGCCCTGCTACATCTGTCAAGCATGCCCTGGAAAAGCACCCTCAGTTCAGATGTTATCACTGCTCTGCCTGCATCAGAAGATTTAGTGTCCACCCTGGAGGTTGCTTTTGCCGCACAGTTTTCAGGGGCAAAACAACAAGGAAGAAAGATGAGAGGAAAAAGGCAAATTATTCTTGCTTAAAGCAAAAGGAATAAAGTGATGTGCCTGCAGACTAGCTCAGCTTCTCACCCTGCATCTAGAAGGTCCCAAATCCCACATTAAGATGGTACTGATGTTCTAAGCTGATTAGCGCGGACGCGTTCGGCTCCCTGGTCTGTGACACCATGAAGATGATCTTCTGTAGAGTGACTCTTTCCCAAGGAAAGCTGAACAACAAACCCAGCGGGGGGCCACCGCCGGTGGAGAGAAGATGCCTGCCTTTGATAATTAACTTTAAAACCGGTTCTAGAAAAGCTGCTCTGGCATAAAATGAACTGTGCCGAGCACTGTTTATGAAACAATTGCTGCTCCTCCCATTAACCACGCGAGCGAGGATTTGGTCAAAAATGGTTCCAATGTTACTTATCATTTTGCACCAAACAAAAGTTAGGTATAAAAGAAAAATGTATACTTATGTAATATATATATAAATGAATACACACAGACACCCCCAAAATACAGCAGCCTTGGGAACCACTCCTTTCTTAACATACTCCAAAATAGAGCCATGAATTTTAACCATCTGTCTCCTTGTTCAAATCTGCAGGAAATATCAAAGTAGAGCAGTGACTCCTTTTTCACTAGGTGCACTCTCAGAGTTCAAGGGAGAAAGACTACAATTTCCTGGCCCAGCATATTGCATTTTAAACTTCTGTTTCCTGAAGCTGATTTTAAGGAGAGATAAGTTCCAGCTATTGGGATGTCAACAACAAGAAGAGCTCCAGGCTGTTGTATTTATAACTCCATACGGTGGTAGAGGCTGGATTGAAGGGGCAAATGGGTTGGCACAGGGTAAACCCATGCTGGACATACATGTGGTTGTGGCACAGGGTCCGTAGCAGAAACCAGGATTTCATCTCAGCCTGCTGTGAGACAGCTCTCTTGGCTTGCAGCTCTCCACAGCTCGGGTAGATTCTGTCTCTTAGCAAAGAAAAGACCAGAAAGGCAAGGCAGAGCACAGGAAGGCCGGTAAGGGGAAGGATTTGAGGTGGGCAATACAAACGAAGGTTGGGGATGGAGCCTGAGGCTTCAGGACAGATGCTGGAGAGGACGGAGGGTGAATCTCAAAACATCCCCATCTAGCAGAGCAACGAGCAGTAGCAGACAGGCAGCCCCGAAGGTGCACGGAGGAGCCTGGTGTGTGCTCACAGCTACAGCAACAAAGGGCAAGAACAAGCACTGTCTCCAAAGCCACAGTTTCTTAGTAAGCAGATAGACATTTCTGGGAAAGCTGCACTCTTTGCGACGCGGTCATTGTCACACTATTCAGACACGTGTTCAAATCCATTAAAGACCTGTCACGCTGTAAAGTCCTTGCCACCAAACACCTGCCATAACCTGTGTGAACAACGCCGCGCCGTGCCCCAAGCATCCACCTCACGTGAACCCCATCCCAGCTGGCACAGCTGCACCAGCAGCACCAACCTGGCTGGCAGGGTCCAGGGCTGGGGCTCCCCACTGGGCGCCCCATTTGTGCCTGCTGAGGGGAGCTGTGTGCCCTGGCTGCTGTCAAAGCCAGCACATTACACAAGCACTGCATGACAGAAAAGAAAACACACAAAAAAAGATCTTATCGCAGGTACCTTGAACTAACCTTGCGTGGGTCCTGTCTAGCCAGGTTTTTCCAAGAAATACACAAGAGGGATGCGGGCTGAGTTGCCATGGCCAGTGCCCTCCAGACAGCACAGTTATATCCTTCAAATGGAAAAGGTGCTCAGCTGCAGGAACTCTGCTCTCTCCAGCAGGATTACACATGTATATTTTTCCCTGTAACTAAGTAAATACAGATAACTGGTATTTATGTGCCCAACACACTTAAACACTCCTGACAAACAGCCTCACTCTGCTCAGGACAGGCCATTTACAAATGGGAGCGTGGTCCTAATTCTAACCATGGTTTGCCCTGATTGTAAACTATTTTTAATGCAAACAAAAATAATTTTACATTAGCAAAAAGGGTTTTCTCAGTAAGACACCAACCACAGAGCTTAATATACATTTCACTAAATGAAGACACTGCCAAAGCATCCTTCCCCCACAGACTCACATATTTCATGAGCAAGGCATTTTAATTCAATGGTCTGAGTTTGATGCTTCTCTTTAAAAAATAACAGCTTGAAGAAGCTCTACAATATTTCCCCACACTCTAACTCCCCCTCAGCCCCCCAACCTTCGTGGTCTGTAAGGCTTCAGAATTTGTGGCAATAAAACCCATACTGCCACGTGGAAATTCCCCAGATTTGTCCCTGAAACCCTCTCATCAAAGGAAAAAAAAAAAAAAAAAAAGGAACAATCAAGAGTAATTTAAGAGGAGTTTGACAATATGTGTGTAGACTATAAACATTTTAACCTAGTTGAACGCATTTCAATTTATATAATAAAAAGAAGACAACTAAAAAGACAGAGCAGTACTAAACAACACAATGGCTAAAGCACTCTTCAGTGATTTCTGCATGTTTGCTGTGTTTGATGCAGACATAAATCTTAGAATAGTTTTTAAAAAGGACTTTGATTCTGACCTTCTGCTGTCAAAAGCAGCTACTGTCAAGAATAATCTAAAACAGCTTCATAAGGGATGTTTTAACTGATTAATCTCTGAAGGTCACACAATCTGTTTAGACTATAACATCGGTGCCACTTGCAGAATATCTAAAGTTGTCAGGTCCTAGTAAGCTCACTGTGGGAAACTGAGATCCCGAGGGTGGTTATAAATAATTAGCACAGTTAAAAGTTCAGTTACTTTAGGTAGTTTAACATTTCCATGTCTTCCAAAGATGAGCAGTGAAGGCACAGATATGTAGCAATCATACCTCCTGAATAATCTAAAAGCAGTGGCCATGGTAACTATAATTTAAAATGGAAAGATGAATAGGATAAAACATCTCTTCCACACACTTTTTTGTTCTCTGCCAGCTCTGGATACCTCTCCAGGCTATGCAGCATCACCAACCTGTCATTAACACTTACGAGTCAAAATGACCGTGGAGCTTTCCGTGCCTTTTAAAATTACAAATCCATTAAGTGTGATGAGTTGCTGAAGTCTCAGCCCCTGCTGGAATCCTTGGCTTT